TGATCCTTGGCTAACACCAAACATTTGTTCTAGTTGGCGATATCCCAGAGGATTTGCTAATCGTTGAATCACAATGCTAACTTGAATTTCAATAGGATTTGAGGTCGAAAGGATGTGGATAAATAGTTAGGATGTTGCTGTAGGATACTAAGCAGCCGATTGAACGTAGATCGCAAAATGCGAAAATGAGATTTAGAAACCATTATACTCGCTCTCGTCATTAAGATATGGAAATATGTCTGTCCAATAAGCATTGTTTTTGGCCGAAGTAAACGAGGTGTACGTTAATCCTTGACATCGAATCAAACAGAAATGCTAATTCTATATCAATTAATCTTGATTTTATTACTTCTGTTACTATAAGTCTTTTTCGACTGATAGATAACATTATCATTAACAGTATAACAGTCTCATGCGGAAGGGCGTTATTTATGCGCGTACTCTATTTAGAAAGCTGGCTGATGCCCATACTTTGTACGACTTCCAAATTTGATCGGGGCGTCAAAGCAATAGGCCCTAATTTTAGGGAAAAGATTTACGACGCGAAAAAAAAAAAGACATAATAATAAGTGGCCTGTTCCTCACAGAATAACGTCCGATTGCAAGATCACCTATATTCGCAAAACTAATGAATGGGGTTTACGAGACGCAAAAACAACTCCGCGAAACCCAAGCGGATATTCATGCGGTTTCCATCAACCCTGGCGTTCGTACACCCTTCAAGGTGTAGGTAAATTGGCCAATACGATATTGGACAAATTATTCGCACATGGATAATCTTCTTTCTATAAAGGACAAGCTGGCTGCCTCTAGTTCAAAACGTAAGAAGAAACAGGCCTTGCGACTTGATAAAGCTTGCAGATGTTTTGATTTTTCGTCGCATCCGAAAGATTTGCGAAGTTCATAAAACGAATGTCATTTTTAACTCGCGAATTTGATGACATTATCATCCCTCCTTTTTATGTTTTCGGATACCTCATATGTTTTGATATCGATGAAACCGAATTAAGGGTTCAAACGCTAAACATAGTAAATCGAAAAACAAGAAGGATAACCGTTCGCAAAATGCTCTTGGGGCCACTATCAATTTCGCCAACGCCTGGTGGCTAAAGCAGAAGAATTAGGGGTCCGTGTTATTATCCAAATGAGGCCTATTGCAAAAGGAGTTTACAAGCCGACTGGTTGGATGGCCAGTCCAGATGGAAAACGAGCTGGCGTGGGAGCGTCCAAAAAATAGGAGGTCCGAGATGTACAAGTGCCGAAATTGGTGAAAATGGCGCTCGGGGAATCTTCCTCCGGGCATTGCTTGATGGAGCCTTGATTCTCTCCGGAGAAATAGTAGTAATGCCTACTATCAATATATTAAAATGTTAAAATCCATCCGTTCTTACATCCGACTATGTTTAAATATAGCTATAATATTTATCTCTAAGTATTTACTTCCTCTGATTGCGTTTCTTCTTCTTTATAGACTCCTTAAGTAAAACGACATTTGAATGAATTCAGTATTTTACCATTTACAACATTTGGTAATCCGCAACTCACGTGTATTACACTAAATTTCTAATTACAAGTGCACATAAATCTTAAACCACGAGAGAAGTAAACTAGACCTTTTGGTATTTATATAATAATGATAATAGTGACAAATATGAAAATATGGTACAATGTTCATGTATGATAAATGTATTATTAAAGCTTTTCCGATTTCACTTGATTGTAATAGTCCATGACATATCGGAGATCATCACTTTTCAAAGCATATTTATCGCAGATATTGGATAAATCATAGAGGCATTGCCTCCGCGTCAGCACCAGCCCTTCCACTTGTTCATGAGATGTGCTGCCTTTACCACTGGCTAAAGCGGCCAGCAATCGATATGATGAAACGACATCTTTAAACGTGTCGTAATGACTATGGGATAAGCAGATAGATGATTATTATTAGCATATAAATTTTGACACCGATGATTTTTAACCTTTGGCCTCAATCACCACCACTCCCTAACTCACCTGTCCACAAGGATGACATGATACCATGCAAAGATAAATACCACCGCTCCCGCCAGCACAGCTCCCAACGGTGTGAAAAACAATAGTAGCCACACAGCAAAAAACATAATCGTATACGAAAGAATCAACCATATCAGTCCCAACATAATCTTATTCTGTGCTCTAGACTCTTCATATTTCTCATACTTGGCTGACAGTTTCCCCACAACGTATATAGGCCAATGGAATGCGAGACCAGGAAGGAAGAACGGCAGTTGAATAATACATTTGAAGACATGAGCGAAGAGAGTATAGCCTGCCCCGGGAATGTTAATGTCACGCTCTTGATATCGTGCAATGTCAGTGTCAGAGAGCGATAAATCATCTAGAGCAGTTTTGTACTGATTCAGTCGCGATTTTAGTTTGTCGACATTATCGGCCGAGTCCGTTGAATAAAAGTTGATTAAACTGCAATATCATGGGAATATGACCGTGTTGGGAGTTTGAATATGAAGAGCTAAGATGTTTCATATAATTGAGACATCCATCTTACCTCTGAGTTATTTTAACAAAGTCTTCTAATGCAACATCCCTGTCATCGGAAAACATTAGCCGTCGCGACATAACAGCTGCGTTCATAGTTTCCCAATCACTAGCATTTATTGTCAGCTTGTACATTTCTGTCTCAATACGTCTAGTCAGACGCTTAACCGTGGTACGCGCATCTTTTATAAAGTCATCCAAGTACGGCATAACATCGATGGGGGGGCCGTATCTGGAAATAGAGAAGAACGTAAGAAAATGAGAGGTACGGTTACTAGTAAGCGATAGAGAAAGCTCTTATATAGTGACATACTCTGCAACAACCAAACTTCTGTATTTTGACTTTTGCACGTATGTTATTCCAAGCGGGGAGATCACGACGGGCGCTGGTGTCGCCTGCCGCTTTATCTCGTGAGAATCATCGTCTGATTCAGAATTTTCAGAAATGTATTTTGCGTATTCTAATGCTGCCTACAAGATCGTGCATGACAGTCAGTACAAAAATAAAATCGCGACAAACGAACAGATCATTAAGACAATATATACCCAAGACGTGCCATCTTTTAAATCCAACAATTTGCTTCCTGAATGTGAAGTACCTGCGATAAGAAATTTATATGAGTTCTCGGTAGATCACTGAGCCTCACAAAGACGATTTTGTGAACCAATTCAACCCGAAATAATTTTTGTTGCCATCATGTCCAACCAACTCGATATTACCTTCGGGAAATACTGCAACGACTTCGCCCAGTTTAAGCACCTCAAATGTGGATGCAAACAGAGCTTTATTATTCTTGGTGGTACGATCTACCGGCACTACACCTGAACTCTTCAATATCTTTGCAGCATGTGGATTCTTAAATAGAGAGTTCTTTGCCCAAAAGTGAAGTTTTCTCTTGTGGGGAAAAGTATACGCGAAAATAGCTGGGTCGACTATCATGTTGCTTTTTGATGGGAGTGAGAATGCCGTAAATATGTATTAGTTGACAGTTAGTTACTTTTATTAAATTAACATTGATCAAAGAAGCATGGCTACATGTCTATACTATTTAATTCAAGTATAATCGTTGATCAATGCTAGTTCAACAACATATGCCAATATGGACATAAGTGGACTGGCCACTAATGCCCGTGTTTCCAACAACAAATGCCGAGTATGTTTGCATACCTATGCGTAGAACAAGCAATAACCGGACCTTCTTTGGGAACATTGTCTTCACCGATCGTCTTTATATTTCTATAGAACCCTTGCAAGCTCCAGTTCGATATAGTGAGAATAATGTCGTAAGAAATTCCAAAAGGCATGGCTATGAAAGTGAATGTAAAGGCAGGGCAGTTCACAATGTAATTCACAGTTGCACTCTACTACTGCAATGGCGATTTGTTTGTATATTAGGGTTTCGTTTGGGGGAAGTGAAAATGTTTCAAGAGAGACAGTTAATGTCGTTCTTTGATTAAGGTATTAATATATATTCTTTATAGTGACTAATAATAGGAATCCATTAGCAGAGGTTTGAATCCCATTTATATCGACAAGGACTGTGACACCCGCAATAAGGCATTTGAATAGAAATTGCCCCAAAACCCCAGGCCACAAATCAAATGTGATTATTGTCAGTGGAAACCGGAAATCACACATGTTTGCATATTCATTGGATAACTATCGGGATCCAAAACAGCCAATAGTTTTGTAACATGCCGACATGTCAAATATCAAAATACGATGGCAAATTGTTCACAAAGGTTCAACTTTTCTGTCGCGCAAAAGTAGATCGCAGACATGGTAAAGAAGAAAAGCGGCAGAACTCTCAACCCTGCGGACGCTCATCGTAAGCAGCATCTCTGAGTGTTGAATTAATCATCTTCATTTGTTTAATCTCGTTTATTACGCTTAACAGGCAAAGCGATGCGGCAGAAGGAAATCAAGAAGGTAATCAGTAACTTGTAACTGCAACCTCCTGCTCAAGTGTGTAAGCACATATTAGATTATGAGTACTTGACTAATTATGGCAAAAAGATTATTAATGTTCTTATTTTGACAGAATAAAGCTGAGAGGAAGAGAGTTCGTACGATGGTTATGGTTCGCAAAGATACTACCAAATTAGAAGATGAGATCGGAAGATATAGATCATTAGGTTAGAGACTATAAAGGCACTGTAGATGTCTGAACAGGAGGACAAATATTAATTATCTTGTTTGTGTAGACAGAGAGAAAAGGCTTGACAAGAATGGAAAGGCAAAATTAAAAGATTTGCTTGAAAAACTATCAAAGATTCATGAAATTAAAAAGGTATGCAATCGACAATTCTTGCCGAGTTTTTTGGATAGTCTCAAACGATCATTCATTAATACATATCTGATCAATAGGCTCACGGTGTAAATATAGAAGTGTATGTATCGGAAATGATTGACCGCGACACGTTAATCTTTATTACTGTTGATTGGTTATCACCAACAAATCACATCGCTTGTCTATTTAACATGACCAATATTCTCTAAATATTTTCGTCTGATACTCAGTGAAAAAGGGAAACCATCCAAATCTAGAACACCAATATACTTTCATCCAACGCTAAATCCATCCGGATTACCTCCTCCAGGCGTTTCAGGTAACGCCTACCTATGCTTGAACATGTGTTTCAGCCTTTTGTCATACGTATGTCGCATACTGACTGATCGAAAGCAATAGGTTCACCAAAGCCTGGAGACAGTGATGAAGAAGGTGATAATGAAGAAGGTTATGAAGTTAGCACCGCTGAGGAAGGGGACAGCTCTGAAGCGGAAGGTTCTTCAAGCGAAGATGGTACGTCTACGACTGAATACAAAAGCTAATGTGTATATATCTCCATAATTAACCTTGTTTCTTGTTTTTAAAAAAGAAGGGAAAGAAATATCAGATGAAGATATTCCTCTACCTTCCAGTCCACCAACACGTGAATCATCATCAGACGAACTACCCGACCTTCCACCAGGCCCTCCTCCACAAAAGCCAGAAGACAAGCGAGGTAGTGATGATGATGATGAGGAAAATAATGACCTTCCACCAATGCCAGCTGGTCCGCCACCCGCACGTCGAGTTGAACAGTCGTTTGGCTCATCTATGCCAATGTTGAGACCACGACCCTTCGGGCAAGAGCCTCCAAATATGATGCCCTTTGGGGGAATGCAGTATCTTCCAATGTATCCGCCACCATTTAATGGTGCACCTGGAATAATCAATAATATGAGACCTGGAATGAGACCAACGCTTCCACCCCAAGCATTTTCGCCAAATTCAGGTATGCTTGAGAACTAAACTATTTGATCGAATACAAATTCTTTATTACAATCTTTATATAGGAAGCCAATGTTTAATGTTCTCTTTGCGACTTGAATTCTAAATAGGACCACCACCGTTCGGTATGCAACATCCGCCCTCAACGATGCACAGTTTCCGACCTTCTGTCCATACTCAACTCCCACCTCCTCCCTCAGCCCGCCCACCCCAATCTCGCGCCGCCCCATTTTCCCACTATGGCCCTCCGCCAGTTCCGTTTCCCCATACTGCTCCACTAAAACCACCCGCTGTCACTGCCTTCTTACCAAAGTCAAAGTCCGGTACTCCAGCCCCAACTCCCGTGATCCGAGCTGAACCGCAAGTTAGAAACCTTCAAAAAGAACTCACAACTCTTGTTCCGGCATCGGTTTTGCGTAAAAAGGCTACGGCTTCTAAGCAGAAAGCAAACCGGCCGCTAGTGAATGCTGCTCCTAGAGTAGATGACGAAGATGGGTCGGACAACGTTGTGCCATTGAAGAGGTCAGCAGCGGTGGCAGAGATATCAGTATTGAATGGAAAGGAAGGAGACGAGAATAATTTGGCAGAAACGGTCTTGACAGCTGGAGGATCAGCGGGGTCAGCAGCAGTTGCAACAGGACAGGCATCCGCGAAAAAGACCAAGATTAGAAAGAAAGTTGATGAATATGAAAAGTTTATGTCAGAGATGGCAGATCTACTATAAACACTTAATAGGAAATTAGGCTAGTCAGACGGAATATTAATCTATCTGGCTTAGCAACCATTTTTTGATGAAAGAATATGGGTTATGGAACACTAAATTTATCTAGCTTAGCAACCATTTGTATATGGGCTATGTGGTAATTGGTTAGAGATTGAGTTAGCCATTGATGAGCGAGGTTCTGTTTATAATTCAGCTTCGAAATATACGGGGAGCATTGTACATATCTAAGTAATGACAAATTAGCATACAGAGAAGCAACAACTATAAGAACCATATTTAACATCTGGGCAGTGTCATAGGTTCATTACTTAATAAAATCACCATCCAAAAAAGAAAGGTACCTCGTCATACATTTTAATTTGTCTGGACCCTGCAGTTTTCACGTGGTTTCAGTTAAATACGTCACTAATTATAATACTAATACTATACAATTTTCCCGCACCATTCATTAAAATCCCACGTTTATCCAGCTTTATGACGCAATAATGCATTTTTATAGTATTTTTACAATACACAAATTGAAAGATTCTTTATTTTACATAATAAAACAAAAATTTACCAGAGTTTTTTAGATAAGACTCTAAAAAGGAAACCGACGAATAAAGGAAGTTTTACATAGACTGATGAAGCGAGAGATTAAGGGAATCAACTATTTTTTTCGAGATTCTTAATCAATAGTAAAAATAGTTTCCGACAAAGGCTAACGCTTTACCGGAGTCCTTTTTACTCGAAGAAAGTTGTATAATATGTTTAGGCTTATAATTCATGGGTTACTGGACAGAACAATGGAAAAAAGAATGTACTGATCCACCTTCTCATAGAAAATTACGAAGTAAAAAAAAATCGGGTTGGTAGTATAGCATTCCACAAATCGTATATTTAACAGGATTACTAGCTTAATTGGTTTCCGTAATAAAAAAAAAGGAAAGAAGAAAGCGATATGCTTTCGATGGAAAATGTGCCATGGCGGTAAAAGGAAAATATCTTTTTTTTTTTTTAAAAAAAAAAACAAACAAACAAACAAACAATATATATGTACGTATATATATTATATATATATATATGTATGTATGTATAATAAAAATATTTATATGGACACAAGGACCACAGACAATAATAATCTTGCCACAATCCCAAATCCTCATATAGGCTTTGCCTTCAAGAGGGGGATAGCCTTTGTGTCCAATGACTAGGAATCGGCAAGATTTACAGTTCGGTATAACACTTGCAACATCGTTTGATTTCTGGACAATCGCCATTCTTTGGCTTTTTAAACATTGCATTATATTCCGACTTCAACGGAATATATCGGCAATCAACGTTGGGACACACGCATTTTGTTTTCTTATATCTGCAAGGTGAGAAGGAATAGCATGTTAACACAATTGATCAAAGTAAAATCGTGCACTTGAATAGGAAACAATTCAGAGATGCAATGCAAGTTCAACATTGGTAGATCAAACTAACCTCAGACCACAACTATTACACAAAAATAGATCGTTTCTCCAGCCCGGTCTCCAACATGGCGTACTCTTGGTACGACAACTGGCACAAATCTTTGCCTTGTTTGCTTCTTTCCTCTCACGTGGCTGTCCCTCTTTACTTGGCATCGAAATACCCAAACCAGCACCCACTTTTAGTTTCTTTGTAGTAGGGGTGAAATCAGGATCATCTTCATCATCGCCATATGTATCAGTGTGATCGCCTTCCAAATCGGAGAGATCCGATGTAAGCAGGGAAGACAAAGACGAAGTCGAGAAGGAATTACGTCGTTTCGATGGAAAGAAGTGGACAGACTGACTGACGTGTTGAGAACGGTTGGATTTGGATGGCGATGAAGCAGAAAGATGATGGTGGTGGTGAGAGGGAGACGATCGAGACACGGCAGAGAGGTGTTTGTGATGAGAATGAGCATTACGACGGGATGATGGAACATCGTCGATAGATTGAGGTTGATGGCCGGATGAGGTCGAGGAGGAAGTCTTGGAATTTGAGCCGTAGCCAAAGCGATGGCCACTGTCACAGTCATCGCTACCTCTTTTATTTTTTGCTCGAGTGACAGGACGAGCGCGCATTCGTGATCTACGTGCCTTTTCAATGTCGTGAACGATATCGGTGAGTAAGACGGGTCGATAAATAATCTCTGCTGATGGACCACGTGTTTTGGAAGTGTTATCACCGTGTGAATCTGTTTTTGGGAATTCTGGAGATGTGAGACTGGATGGTGCCGGTGTGGGTAATGTGGAAGATGTTTTATCGTCTGATTCATTGATCTGGTCATCTTTCGACAAGGAAAATATAACTGGGAAACTGAATACCATTCCAGGCATTTTCTCGTGATCTCCGTGATCAGGAGATCTTACTGGGGTTCCTTTTCTTTTCCGTTTTGATGATTGGGTAGTCGAACCACTTGAGCGATCCGTTGATTCTGATCCTGTAGATGAAGAAGATTCGTCCAGCGATGGTGTTCTTAGAGAGTTTGGTAGTCTTATGTTGTGAGCAGCCGCTATCTGCGGAAGGATAAACGGTAGTATTGATTGATCAGGAAGTAAGAATCGTGTACTGGATGCTTTTATAGCGGATAATGGACTAGTGGGACTAATCAGCTCTGCTGTCGTTGCTACGGTCGAAACAATTTCTGGCGATAAACCGATGGGTTGAATGGCGGACATCAACGGCATCTTGTCCTTTGAATGGAAAAAAGGATTCTTCCCATCGATGGTATCAAGTGCCGGGGGTGTAGGGATGCCATAGGTAGATGTCATAGTAAATAGGTGATCTGCAGAGTATCATACATATAAGGAAATTAATTCAGTGATCGAATTACTCACTGGTGGAAGAGAGAGTGTTATCTGGTGATCTGTGTATAAGTGAGTAAAAAATCAAGTTGTAACGAGAAGAACGACTCGGGTCTTGAGAGGCAAGCCCGAGTCAAGGTATAAGGACAATAACAGAGACGATGTCAATAGCGTTAAGGGTGGTAAGGGTGGTATTATAATGTAGCAAAGTAAACAGAGCAAGACGTAAAGTTGTGTAGATAAACAGTGACTGGGAATAATGGAAACACGGATCATAACAGCAAATACGCATGTATGTAACAAAAGACTATAGAACGAAGGGAAAGGAGAGGTTTCGTTGTATCTATCATATTGGTAGCAATCAAGTTAGCCGACACTGATCAGAGGTTGTTCTTCTCGTAAATAGAGCAGAAGCGACTATGAAAAGCAAGTCTGATAGAATCATACAGGGTGATTGAAGCAAGTGGAAGTGGAATAGGAAGAGAGTAAACTATAATGCCTGCTGTTGATTGATATTTAAGAGAGTTGCCCATGTAGTTGAGAGTTTTCCAAACATTTACCTCGAGTCGGTTGTAAGCGAAAAACGTTCTGATCGGAGTGGCTGCTCGCCAGTGCGAGAGTCGAGAAAAGGTAGTTTATGAGAGTAGAAGGTGTAAAACGGCGAGGGGGGGTAAGAATAGTAGAAGCGTTAAGCGAGACCCCTCGTTATTGATTAGAAGAGATAATAAATTTAGATAGTGTATATATATATAATAGATATAAGTATATTCTAAGTTCGTGAATGAATAATTCACGATTTTCAACGGGGAATTCGAATAGCAAGATAGAGAGTATAAAGCGAGGAATAATTGTCTAAGTCTATCTATAATGATTTTAAAACATGGGGGAACGGTCAAGTTAGTTGAACGATAAATTTGGGAAAATGTCGGGGGGAGTGGAGGAATTTAAGAGTAAAATGAGTGATGTGTGAGTGAAGTATCTAATAAGGGAGTTTACCAGCAAGTTTATTTGTGATGATAGTGGATGATAGTGTTTCAATGGGTGACGATGGAGTGATTGGACAGTGGGTAAATGTTGGTGACATGAGCGTATGTATTAGATTTATTATAAGTAGCAACTGCTGATATAAAAAGAGAAGCACAGGGCAACAAATGTCCACAGATGACCGAAATGCGAGTAAAAATTACCAAAAAAAAATAAAGAGAGGCGTGACAGACAGTGACAGAAAGACAGGGAGTGACAGACAGAGTGACAGACAGAGTGACAGACGGAACGGCAAGACAGAGAGACAGAACGACAGTAAGAGAGTAAGCTTATCAATTGATTTGCAGCGATTGTGTTGCACACGATTTGAAGAGGTGATGATTACAATTAGTGCGAGTACTTTTTAATCTTTGTTTCTGTGGAGACAGTCTGTATTATTGTTAGCTGCAATGATGAATGCATACAAATTATATTATCATTATATTGTACCACGCATTTGCAGAAGTACATTTTATACTATACGAAAAAAAGTGTACAGCTTATTTATATAGGTGATATTATGTATATGGTATGTTATACCGACATATTACAATAATTATCGACAATTGTGTAACAGTAACATATTTGCAGAGACTGATTTGAATATGTGTATATTATAATAACAAGTACAGTATTTCAATATCTGACTAGCATCTGTATACATGTCTAGTATCCCACATCACATACAAGTTCCATTATCTTATTGACAATTTTTGGTATTTTTGATGACAATATAAAATTTACGATTACACCGATAAATGATGATTGAATGTGTCACCAGACAATCAATATATATATATCTTATTTCTGCTCCCCGCTTGAATTACTTGTGTGTCACCCAACCAATTATCACATCCACAAAAAAATATACGTCGAGGGTTTGTGGAGTCTTGTTATTTATATATTCATTATCGTCGTGCTTGGTGTCAAAGTTAATGTCGTTCGCATTCGGTCGGAAGAAGATGGAGGAGAGGGGAAAAAAAAACTTGATTGTTGAAGAAAAAAAAAAAAAAAGACGTTTCAGATTGATAGGCAAAGAACAGCACGGAAGCAAATATAAAAAGGAACAGGTAACATAAACATAATAAATATAGGCACCATAATAAGAGTAGTCAAGTTGATAACCATGTATATTAATGTACTTAATGTACATATGCCTACATAAATTATCTTGGAGTTGTATGCCTGCTATAACTGTACTGTACATGCATACAGCATAAAATCGTACATTACTTAACAGTATGCATAAAATGTCTCGCATCAAAACTCATCTATGCGAAAAAAGATGCCATATTTTACTTGTACATAATCGCTCCATCTTTTATGCTAGCCACCACAAATACAGTAATAACAGCGCTCTCCTTTCTGCTATTGTTGGAACTTTAGAATAGCTCTCAACATTCGCAGATACCACACTCAATCGGTAGATCATTCTAAATAAGGCTAGATCACTATCGATGATTACTTGCAGTTGACAAGAAATATTTGTTTATATGGTGTACTTCTTTTTACGCCCTTCCGTAAGTCAAAATACACCAGGAGAAGCACATGCACACGATCACCATTTGCGATTCCATACGGGCGATAATCGAAGAGCCAAGGGTTTACAGCTTTGCGTGTGCGCTTGTAGATGAGTGCATGAAGAGCAGGTTGAACAGAAAAGGATGAAGAAATGTGTGAGAAGTTTTCGTTGATTGGCAAGCGTAACAGTCGGCGATTAAAATGATTACACACACATATTGCTGATCATCAGATCTTAATAATCCTATAATTAGAATATTAAATTATTAAGTTTGTAACTTAATATTTGTAGTGTGCAACTCTCTTCATCACCTCTTCCCCCACCCCCTCCCTCCTTCCTCTCCCTCCTTCCTCCTCTCCGTCCTCTCTCTCCGTCCTCTCTCTCCTTCCTCTCCGTCCTCTCCCTCCCTCCTCTCCCTCCGTCCTCTCCCTCCTTCCTTCCGCTATCTCTTTCCAGTGGGATAGAAAGATCGACACAAGTCTCTGCAAGATAACAAGGGACTAGGAAAGAACGTCATGTGATTGAAGATGATAACACAATGAAAGTCAAATGCTTACCATCGATATCAAATTTGTAAACGGCTGTTTTATTCCCATTCGTTCTGCTCCCGTGCTGTTGTGATTAATTTAGACAAAATTTCTCCACACTCTTTCCTCCTTTGAACTTGTTAATGAGTGCTACATACTAATTACATTGCATTGCAACAAAACAATACTGATGAACAACGGATAAATAAAATTCTTATTTATTTATTTACTTGTTTGATCACCGCCACAAACTCAACGTTACGTCTTTCCCTTGCCTCCCAATCACACTAATCTCGAAAGTTTACCACCAGACAATTTACCCAAATTAGGCAGAGACAACGGTCTATAAAAGGATGTCACAAAAAAAGTTTTAATAAACAAAATTCTGTTGCAGAGATTTCGTTGATGCAAGCTCTACTGCATTTTGCTTGGCATCACAAACAGCGTAAACTGAAATAAAAAAGTTTGACGAGCTACAAACAATATCAGTATTCCCGGAGGGGGAACTAATATATGCATCACGCGTTATCGGATGGCAGAACGATGCTTCGATAAGAATATTATATTTAATCTTACTACCCCAATATGGTTATTATCATGCCACATTGTGAACTACAGCGTTACGTCTGATTACCATAAAGGGCTTATCTACTATATGAATTTAATCTTACGAGGATAGATAGACAGTCTAATAATAAAAAGAACATATAAAGTATTAAACGGACAATAATCACACATGACTATGGTTAGAGCATAAGAGGGAGGAGGTGGTGATGGTGATGATGGTGATGATGGTGATGACGGGGAGTAAGGATATCTGATTTACAAGTGTCAGAAATATGCAAACTGTATGATGAAGTCGACATGCATAATGCAACAGCCAATCACTGCAAAGATTAAGATTAAATATCCACATAATGCAACCAACATATATTGTTTTCGTCATCAAAAAAGTTCAGATCACTTTTTTTCGCAATACTCATTACTGGCTCTCTTCCCCTATCCAGCCTCTTGTATTACTTGTGTGTGTGTGTATGTGTATACGTCTTACGTATGTGTGTATATTAAAAGGTTGTTCACTCTCGCTTTTATGTTTACGAGTCGACGTAACACCACTGGGTTGGCAAGTAAACAAATGGAATGGGGTCACCGAACAAGCAGAATCATTGGAAAATATCACCACCCATTCACTCGTCTGTCTATATACGATATATTTCTCCGTTACATAAACCACATTCGTACAATCTAGATTATGGGAAAAAAAATTAGAGCACAAAAATAGACTAAGCGATTCTCCTCAAAGAATGGAAGATTTTAGTGTAATGAAAACATGATTGCGCCATTACCCGCTGAAATATAACAAGAGTTTTGGTCCTGCGAGAAAGGGGAGAGTGGGGATGTTACAGGAATGATGAAGCACTAAAGATAGTCATGGAAGAGATATCCCAATGTATGTATGCATCTCCCCTTCTCCAACACTCCCCCCAACCCTCCCCCAACCTTCCCCACACACCCTCTTTCTTTCCTCCCCCCATACAGTATAAATCACCCGACTGAACAAAAGAATGTTTAAAGGGATTAGGCCAAATGCATAAAAGCGAAAAAAAAAATATTTTATTCATCCCAATTTATCTGTCTAACTCTTTATGGCTTTATTAGTTCATTAGGGCTATCGGACCCAGCGATCAATTCCATTTCTCGATCAATGTTACTACATTCTATGTATTAATGTTTGTACAATCAATTTTTCTCAACGATGATCAAAAAGTCTGTGATCCGTTAACCTTTTTTTGTTGTTGTTACCTCTCCCCCCTCCTTCCCCTCCTTCCCCACCTTCCCCACCTTCCTCTCTATCCCCTCCATCCCCACCCTCCCCTCCCTTCCATCCCCTCCCC